GCTCTACGGAACACCACGAACCAAAGTTGCATCAGCCAAATCCACGACAACAGTCAGTGGATACAAGTAGCTTATATGCATTGTGCAAAAAATAAACTGTAGTGTTATTAACGATATATAAATATAGCTTATTTATAACATTTACCTTCTAAAATATTTTAACGTTAATTAGAATGCAATAAAAAACAAAAAGAATTATTATAAAAAAATTTTATATTACGAAAAAAAATCAAATTCTAGCGGCGTTTGAATTAAGTTTATTTGGTCAAAGATTTAAAAATTATTGCGGAACATTTACATACATGGTATATGTAGCGGTGATAATGAATTTCATATATATGTTATTCTATATATGTGGCTATCCTAATAATTTTGGAATCTTTGACTAAATAAAATTTGGTAAGTCGCTAGAAGTTTTTTAATACAAGTTTTTTTTATTGTAATGTATTACTATGTTTCCTTTTGTTTATTAATTTATTCTAGTTGGCGTTGAAATAATTTCAGAAGTTATATTTTATAAACATACCTTATTATTGTTATAGAAAACACCACAGTTTATTGTTTTTTAATTCTAATTAAACACTTGCCTATCTTCGCTACTCACACTTGCCGATTTTATTTTGTGAATCGTCCACGCTCATTGCTGATTTTTTATATATTATTTATGGATTCTTTTGTCAAGTTACATTTGATATCGTATTAACAATCAAACCAACGTGAAACAAGCCACATCGATGCTTTTGGAAACGATGTTGCATTTCTAGGTTGACATCACTCAGTTGTAATTTTAGAAGCGCATGCACCTACATCACTCAATTGTAATATTATGTCATTAAATATAACGTATAAAAATCTATTAAAAAACGTATGTTCTCAAATTTGTAAATGCTGTAAAAAATTAATTTTCCCGTTCTTCTCAGACTTAAACTATGGTTATGCACGGAGGATGTTTAGCCAGAAAAGCCACGATTACTTATAATGTATGTAGTGGCAATTCGTAATAACCATGGACTAAGTTAAAATATAATTTTGCAATATTTTACCGTTAATCTAGTAATTTTTGTACCTGGGACCTAATAAATTTTCATGAATATGTGCGGTATATACCGCCGATAAAGAATATATTTCATCGTATTTCATGCGGACCTAGAAAATATCCATAGGGACGCAACGGTATTAACCATGGATACAGCCTTTTGCATTTTTTATAAACGAATAGGAGGAAAACGTGATGGAATGGAAATGCTTTTTTGGGAATGGGAGAAAAATGGGTATATGTTAGTGTACAGCACGTACGGTAAATGAAAGGAAAATCAACAATTTAGATGGAAATATGAAAGAATTAAAATGTATTAGCTACTTCCCGTCCATATCTATTTTAGACGAACAAAATTTTACTGAAAGGTGAATAATGGACCTCGTAGTAATTCTTCATAAAGGTGTATACCATATGTCTAATAAAGACTATTATAAACGCACGAATCGTCATCGGCGAATTTAACTTGGTAAAGTTTAAATAGTTAAGTTTTCTGAAATTTTCCAACATTATAATTTTCATGTTAAATAATTATTTGCATCTTTTATTGATATGAATTTGTTTAATGTCTATTTTTAAATTTCATTAGTAATTTCTGTTGGTTTGTCGATGTCCCCAATCTAATTAAATTGGTTGAAATAATCATTATAGCGTCACTGAGTGATCGCAATCGTGATTGGTCTATTACAATTGTAACGCTGCCTCTGCCTGCATTAATTAAAATTGCCCAAAAACAAATTTTCAGATTTTGTTTGTCTACTTTCTTGATTTTTGGTTCCGTAAGATCTTTCTATAAAGTATTAAAACACTTTCAAAAAAATAATTAGTGAAATGAACAAACTCGGGTCCGACATAACTTGAGAATGGGTTTATTCATTATTCAAAAATATATATGTATATTTTTATACAAATATATGTATGTTTTATACAAATATATGTATATTTATGTATATATATATGTATATTTTTTATACACTGTTGTTTTATTTTGTTGATTTTTTTAACTGGATAATATCGATTGGGTTATTTTATCGTATATCTTATCTTATATTTTATATCTGACATAAATATTTATCAATTTAAAAAAGTCTTATTAAATTATTGTTATTAAATCATTTTTAATCATTTGGTTAAATTTTGACAATTATTCTTTTACTATTAATTTATTACTTATTTTTAATTAAGAGTAAATTTTCTAAATTTTTTCTATATAATCTAATTAACTTTTTCAGAAACACTCGATAATTAATTTGATTTTGTTTTTTTAACATAACATTAGTATTTTTTGATTTGAACCACCATAAGCCTATTTAGGTTTCTGGTCTTGAATGTGACCATTAAATTGTGTTTAAAAAATTTGTTTATGTTTATTAATAAGTTTGCCAAGTTTATCTTACATTCATAGGTGAGTTCCATAGCAAGAATCAATGATATATTTTCTAACACCGAGTTCAACGGATTAAAAGGATATAGTTTTGTTGTTAAAGAGGTTTTTTTTATTTTCATTTTTATTCACTAACTAAAAACATGTTTAATTGATTCAATACAATTTTTAATAAGGTTGTCGTATATACCTCTGATATTGGACCAGCTAGTTTTAATAAACTGAATTTCAATGGAGACATAAAAAAATTACTCATGGTGAAGAAATCTACAAAGATTTTTTGATATTTTTTTATATTTAATAAGCAAAATGGCGTCCAAATTATGACAATATCGTTGACAAAAACGTACAAAAAACAGTATCAATGATACAAATTTCCAGATTTGTATAACTTTTATAGGTTTATAATCAATTTATCATTAAACATTATTTTTTTTAATTTTTTTAGTTATTTTCTACGGAATCATGGAACAATTTTTGCTTAGCACATTTGTATACTTATTTACCTTTTGGAGATATGCTGGGATTAGGTCATATTGGAGGTTTTGCTAGTGGTGGCATTTGTAGTCATTGTTCTGGTTACATCATTCTTACCGTCGTTATAAATCTATAAGCTGTCAAAGTTGAAAACTTCTACTTACAGATAGAGAAATTTGCGAAAATGTGGGAATAACTACAATGAAATCTAAAACAGGATTACTACCAACCATTCAGTCCGATCTCGTTACTGCTCATGGTATTTTATAAATATTTACAAAAAATTTGTTACTAATTCATTAATTGGTTGTGCTGACCCATACTAAAAATTATTTGAAAAATTAAAATTTCACATTTTTAAAATTTATTTCAAATAAATATTTTTATCATTATACTAACTCGATCATTTGAAAATTGTCACGTTTGTTTACTTCCGACTTTTATTATATATTACCAGTAAAAACTTTAATTTGGGTTCATTCGTCAAAACAGACATTTTTTTTAAATTATGAAGCTTTTTGTGATACATCCTTTAATTTGTTTGGTCTTTTCTTATTAGACTTGAACTTTAACTATTGAAAAGGTTATATTTCTTAAACTAGTCAACGTATTTTTTTTGAAATATTGTGAACAATGTAAAAAAATTATGACCTGGGTTGAAAACATTGTTTAAATAGCTCACCAAGTCTAAAACATATTGTTATAACCTTCAAAAATATATTCGCTAGAGGCGCTAATGTCGCTACGAACGCACACAGTTTGAGCAGAAGCTAGAACCTTCTGACAGCGAGATATCTAAGACGTTCGAAAAACGTCGGTAAAACGAGTATATAAAGACACGCGAGATAATCAATGGGTCTAAATATTTTGATTTTAGAAAGCGGTTGTTTGTTTGTGTCGAAAGCGATATTTGATATTTGACTGTGTTATGTTATTATTATAGTTGCGATAAATGTTAGTGAATTGTTATTCGGAAAGCGATAGTTTCTGAACGTTAATTTTATAGTTTGTGAACATTAACTTTTATTAAAAAAATTAATTAACGTTGATTATTGAATAACTAATTAATTGATTATTGTTTTGAAAATAAATAAATCAATAATTTGGGAATTATATTGTCACTATTTTTTACTGGTATTAAACGAAGTAGTTGACCGGGACAGTTATAACATTGGTGTCAGAAGTGGGATCTTCGGTGGAAATTAAGAGAGCATCGATGTTAAAAATTTTTTTTCTCTTCGACAAGTCAATTTGTAAAAAAAAACATGACGAAATTACATCAACTTCAATAGGTGCAACTCAAAGAAGAGTTACAAAAACGAAATCTTTTTACAAGTGGAAACAGAAAAGCTTTAATAGCACGCCTAACGACATCCCTTGTTAATGAAAACGAGATGAATTGACGATTAGGATGTAAAATCAAATGCAGTTGTAAACGTTGGAGCAAACGCCGAATTGATGGCACTACTTTTAACGATATCAACAGAAATAAAACAGACGAGAGATCAAATTGATGCCAAAATTGAACAACGGTCGGCCGCGATTGATGCAAAAGTCGAACAACAATCAGCAAAAATAAAACAGACGAGAGACCAAATTGATGCAGAAATTGAACAACAATCAGCAAAAATAAAACAGCAGTCAATAGAAATAAAACAAACGAAAGATCAAATTTGTTCTAAAATTGAGCAACAATTGAAAGAACTCAGAGAACTATTCGATGCCAAAACTGAACAGCAATCGGCCGTAATTAACCTAAAAATAGAAAACCAGATTATACGAATGGAAAACATCACGTCAAAAACTGAACAGAAATTGTGGTAGCGTTACGAAGGTCAGCAGCAGCAAATGATTCCAGTCAAGAACCATTACAACTACGAAGTTTTGGTAAATGCGTTGAATTTACGTTATGGTGAAAAACACATGAAGCAAATATATTGGTTCCAGCTACAAAATCGGACGAGGCGACCTAGAGAGTCAATACAGCAGCTGGCACAGGATATTGAACGGTTGAATCTGCTGTCATACCCTACGTACGACCCACAACACAGAAAAAAAAACTGCATGGGGAACGTTTGTAAAAGCTGTTCGAGATTCAGATCTAAGACAAACCCTCAAAAACACTGTTGCCTACAGTCTTACATTTGAGTCAACAAAGCAAACTTCAAAGACAAACGTAAAACTGTGCTATTGAAGTCAAAACGACATAAGGCTGGATGGCAAAGTTGGTTCACAAGAATGATCAATTACGATCGACACCGGAGCAACAAGATCAATTTTAAGATCCGATTTGTACCCAGCCTAAAAAGAAAAAAATTTTATAAATACATTCTTCAAACAGCTACAGGATGAACAGCGCCCGTCCACGGAAAAATTTCTTACACTGTTCAAATAGGCGAGGGCACATACTTAATAGCAGATATCACTGACGAATGCATAATAGGCGTTGATTTTCTAACAAAACATGGTTTTTAAATTGATTTAAAAATACGCGTCTTTATATGGAGAAATATGGAAATAGTAATGGGGACCAGCGATGTCAAATATTTTTGTATAACGATCAAAAGTGACACCGAAGTACCTAAATTATCAGAGAACATCGTATGGGCAAAAATAATTGGCGATATTGGAGACCACCAATTGTACCTGGTTGAGCCAACGACGACGATAGAAATTAACAACATTGTTATTGGAAAGAGTTTCGTAAAAGCAAATGAAAATGGCTTTGTTCCGGTTCGGGTGTTAAATATGGCAGAACATTCAATTACAATTAGAAAGGACCAAGAAATAGGCTTTTGTCAATTTGTAAATATCGTCAAGTCTTTGGATATTCAACATCAGAACAGTGGTCGGCTAGTCGATAAGGATAATCTTGAAAAGCTTGCGGTGGGTTTATTAGGTGAACTCAATTTGCAACAGGGAGATTGTTCAAAAGCCAAAAATTTGATAGCGGATTTTGCAGAAGTATTTTCAACTGGAGACGATAATCAAGAAAAAACGGCCCTTGTTACTCATCGAATCGATACTCATGACTCGAAGTCAATCAGAAAAGTACCACGCCGTCTTCCACAAGCAAAACAAGAAAAGGTAAACAAGATGACAACTAGAATGTTAAACCAATCTGTCAACAAACCGCCAACTAGTCCTTGGATTTTGCCAGTTGTCAATGTAAAGAAAAAAGACGGTAGCACCCGCTTTTACATGGACTACAAAAAGCTAAACGAAGTGACGAAATAAGATAGTTATCCATTACCAAGAATAGATGACATCATAGACACTTTGTCCGGTTCACACTGGGACATGTCATATCTTTGAATGGAGTGAAATAAAGTAGAAATAGTAAAAAATTGGCCAACTCCGAAACATAAAAATTATTTGCGCAGTTTCCTAAGATTAGCGACGTTTCGTAATGGATTTGTAAAAGTTGCACGACCACTACATCAGCTCAAGGAAAATGATCGAACGTTTGATTGGAATGAGTTATGTGAAGTAGCTTTTGAACGACTAAAAAGAGAATTATGTGAAGCCCCTTTGTTAGCATATCCAATCCAAGTTAAACCATTTGTGCTAAATATTGATGCAAGCAACTGTGAAATTAGAGCGATTTTGTCACAAATTGTTGACGGAGAAGAAAATATTTTCGCCTATTACAGCAAAAGTCTTACAAAGCCTGGACAATTGATACG